ATGATACAGCAATGTACAAATGACTACCCACTATGATACAGCAATGTACAAATGACTAACCACTATGATACAGCAATGTACAAATGACCTAACCCACTATGATACAGCAATGTACAAATGACCTAACCCACTATGATACAGCAATGTACAAATGACCTAACCCACTATGATACAGCAATGTACAAATGACCTAACCCACTATGATACAGCAATGTACAAATGACCTAACCCACTATGATACAGCAATGTACAAATGACCTAACCCACTATGATACAGCAATGTACAAATGACCTAACCCACTATGATACAGCAATGTACAAATGACCTAACCCACTATGATACAGCAATGTACAAATGACCTAACCCACTATGATACAGCAATGTACAAATGACCTAACCCACTATGATACAGCAATGTACAAATGACCTAACCCACTATGATACAGCAATGTACAAATGACCTAACCCACTATGATACAGCAATGTACAAATGACCTAACCCACTATGATACAGCAATGTACAAATGACCTAACCCACTATGATACAGCAATGTACAAATGACCTAACCCACTATGATACAGCAATGTACAAATGACCTAACCCACTATGATACAGCAATGTACAAATGACCTAACCCACTATGATACAGCAAGATGCCACAGAAAGAATAAATTCTGAAGAACATTAAAAATTCACACTTGAATTATTGTTTGTCTTTACCAGATACTGGACACTAGAGGGCACTGTAACATTGTCATCCCCCAGTCCAAGTCATCATAGTACAAACATTGTTTTATTGCAGGAAATAAACAAGCTCTTAAAGCAAGCAGGTGAGAGCATGACATTTAAATGAACAAATCATACAAGATTATCTCCCAATAGTTATTTGCTGAATCTCATTCAAAGGTATTATTTTTTTATCGATTCAGTTCATTTAAAAATTTGGTCTGAAGCCAATTAGAAGAAAACAACCCCAAATTGTGGTAAAACTTGCCTCTAAAGAGCACAATGAGGAATCAGTTGTTTTAATATTTTAATTCTAAATTTAACACATCGTTTGGACTAAAACTTAGGCTATGCCACATTGTACACAACCCAGCCTATATATAATCTAACTATGGTAGAAGGATTTTTTTTTCTGTGCCCAAAAATTCTGTGAACCGCAATCATTTTGTGATGCATGAAATTTTTGGAAAATTTTATAAAAATTCAGGAAAATTGAGTTTTGATGAATGTTTTCTTCTTACCTCCCCTGTTTATTGGGATTGGAGCATGTATGGTTTGTTGCACATTGTTGGTGATTTGACTGGAATGAATGGAGGAGACTGGTACGCTGCCATTAGCTTTACTTCCAACGTAATATACTAGCAACATGCAAAGAAGACAGTGCAAATAATAATGTTACATAACCAAGCAAAAAGAAATGTCTGACCCTGCCAAAAGTAAGATAGCACATTTGCTCCAATATCTCTAACAGAAAAGGACATAACTCCATTTAGTGTAGCCTGATTTATTGAAATATGACAGATTATGACCACGGACACACATGCACTACTAATCAAGCAAATATAAGGCATATAGCGTCTATACGCAGAGCACTACGCAACCTTTTTTTCATAAAACATATTACACAAATTTATTTATGACTCATCAGAATACCAATCAATAACCATTAATTTTATTTCCATCCACAATTCATCCACCAATTCACCTTGCCTTTTTTTCTTAATAACAGGGAATAGCCTCCATATCAATGATGATTATGACATGCAATTCTTTTTCTAACATTTTAGTCACCTTCAAAAATATTTTGTTCACAGTCCAATTAAAGGATTATGATAATTTCACAATTGCTAGTAACAACAGAAATGAACACAGAACTGCTCTTACCCAATGGCACTAAATTAGACTGTACGACTCCGCCACCAACTGCTGTGTTATGTAATCCATTGCTGTCTACAATCCCATTGGATGCAGTGGTATCTCCCGTCAGTTGATTCCAATAATTCTCTGTGGGGGAGGCTGTGTTGAAGCCTGGTGGGGCAGCTGATGTAGTGCCAGTGTAACGGAAGAAGGGATTCTTCAAATCTAATTTATTGGTAGAAACGGTACCTGATCCTTGTAGGGCAGCTTCTATTTCTATATCGTAGCTTTGTCTGCAATAATGAAGATACAAATCAAAACTTTACTGGCCTATGTTCTTTATTGCATGTCAAGAAAAATGTCAGATTTTTATCAATGAGTGAACTGAGCAGTAGCAATACTGACAATACCAGATTAATTATACTACAATTTGACTCATTGCATTTTTAGTTAATGACATGAAAACATCACAATAAACGGTATCATCATTTGAACCATATGGAAGGACTGTGACAGTTTTCCTTATCAGACCGACTCTAAGCCTTCGTGACTACAAACTGATATGCAACCAAGGAAAGCTTGTTTAGCATTAGAACCCAATACAGGTCAAAGGTCAAACACCTCACAATATGTTAATTATCACATTTAAATATTTGGACATCGATATCAATTCCTACTATGAGTAGAGGTATAATTTATCATAACAACCAATTAGAGAACACCTTACTTATGAACAGTTGAGCTAAGCTAAGCTAATTGGCTTCTCATACAAACCTTTTGTTACATGTGAGAATTACTTTTCCTGAGAGAGTCTGACCAACTTTAACAAAGATTGGAGTTTGAAGTAAACACCGTACCTGAAAGCAGAGGTTAAGTGTGAAAGGTCATATAAAGTACACAGAATTAAATGAGCAGCTATGCATATGCAAATGAGTAGTTAAAATTATGAGATGTCAGTATGTGATACAGTTTTGAGTTGATGAAAACAAAGAACATTTCCCTTGAGTCGGCATATTGCATCTTCAGGTATCTACATGGCAGCATATTTTAGGGGTTTATTCTGACAAGTGAAATTAAAACAAGAGAATTAGAAAGATGCAAACTTACTTGATACCAATGTGTTAATGGCTCTGTTGGGGCAGTGGAAAGATAGATAGTTGATCTAGAATTAAAAAAACAGAAAACAATTGGCTCATCAGCTTAGTAATAGCCTTGAATGTTTACACTGTCAACAAACGTAGTCATGGTAAATTTGACTGGTTAACAATGATGCCATACCAATCACCTGTAGATCACATGACCAAATAAAACTGACATTTACATAAATAGATACTAAAATAAACTAAACATCATTGCCAAGGCAGTCATCAAAATTGGATAGACTCCCTAGGCAACATGGAAATATGAGAATTTTATGATTACGTATTTTTCACACAGCATACTTACACAGAGCCAATGAAGGAAACATCAAACCAAAAAGCCAAACCATGGACAGTTCCTGAGGTGAGAATATTATATGATAACGGGATCTCAATTTTATGCAAATCAGTTTCATGTGTAGTTCGAAAATCTATTGTATGTTTCACCGATCGGGCAAGACAGATACGGATATCAAACGTATCCTGTAAGGAAAAAAAAATCACAAATAATGTTAACATTGAACATTGTTTTAATGCACAAGTTTTTAATAATGATATGTGAAACCTGTTAACTGTCTTCAAACTGAGTACTGGCAGAAACACAAAGCAAACAATTATCAGACATGATTTTTTTTTTTTAAATACTTTTTGCTTTTTCAAGAACTGTGTATAGGGCTTAGTATAAAACCTACTGGCTATCTCTGGAACCTCAAATTGGCTAAAATTTTAAACAGTAAATATTTGTTTGATGGAAGTTTCTACTGGACCAGATTTGACTCTTTTTGTACAAGAAGTGAGCATTAGTCTTAACAGCAATGAGATGAATTTGCTTGGATACTGACTTCATTACAGTCACATCTTTAACTGTCACATGTAGTTAATACATTATTTAAAAAATCTAAAATTTATAAATACAGAGATTTTGTACGTTATGACCAATATAATTACATAGATACATACCACAATAGGTTGTCTGAAGCACTCTTGTAATGCAGCATTCCTAAGACTTGATAAGTCAATACCGTGGAACGACTGTTGATACCTAGCAAAAACGAGTATTGTAAAAAAACTTTATTTAAACTGGAAATAATTTGCGCTGAAAAACATTTGGCTGTTTTGTATGCAGTTTATTTTTCAGATGAATATATCTTCACTGATTCATCCCTATAGCGAAAATAAATTCTAGTGAAAATCAAGTATTTTACAGTTATATCTTAGATGATATAGCCTAGTTTGTACATAGCATAACAAATTGCACACCAGCAAAGAGGACAAGTGGAAATCTCAGTTAAAGCAGAAGTAACTTGTGTTCAAAGAGGATACCTTCATACTTATATGTTTCTAATATATATAATAGTAAAATCACAACTTACCAGAAATTGGCTTTAGTAAATTGTTCCATGTACAATGCTTCATCACAGAATGGGGCTATATGAATATCTCCTTGGCTCGGAAACATTTTACCTGAAGATGTAAATGACAAATTGTGATAAATATAATCCATAGACTAACACATAGCAGGGGGTAATGTGAACCTATACTGCTGGACAGCATTGTATGTAGTTTGCTATATTCCTATGATAACATTATTATACACCTTCTTGTAGTCATTGCAGGCATTTTACGAAT